TGTTGCTATTTCATAGCGTATAATTGGTGCTCTAATTGTGATGATTATAACACATTTTAATGCTATTTTTATTTGTTTTGTAGCTCTTTATATGCGCTACACTATATGTTTTAGTAGCTCTATTTTGTAATTATTATCTAGTTTGTTGGAACTTTATGTTTAGGCTATAAATTATTACCTTCATTAGATTACATACGTTATTAGTTATGGACCTTATGTTACATAATTGCAAGAAACCTGTTTTGTTTTGCAGAAAATTTCAATACATAAAAATTCTCCATACAAGTCTGAATCCTGAAAATATTCATACAAGTCTCATTTCTCAATTAAAGTCTTAACTAAAAATTCAACAGCAAGATCAACAACAGGAACAAAGTGGACTGTATGCTCTTGATTGTTTGAAGACCAATGGCTTTCAGCAACAATTAGTAAAACAAAAGCAAAACAATACAAAAGCAATTCACAAACAGATGAAAACAAGGTAATCAATTATCCAAGATACACTTTCTCACTAACCTTGCGGAGTTCCTCTTGAGCAACTGGTGAATGATGTTTAGGAGTCTCTGACTCTGATGTTTGGGTGTGCTGAAGTCCAGTTTTCCACATAACAGAAACAGATACACGGGTGACCTGGATAACCAAACATATAACATGAGCAGCTATGAAATTGGTTTATGCAAGGCTATATAGTATAGTTAAAATTTCAAGATGGAGATAACATACCAGACGCTTTTCAAGAATAATTTCCATCTTATGTCCGGTACTGCATTTAATTACAAGCAGTTAAGTCAAATCAAAAAAACCGTCCAGAATCAGACTATCAGTCAGCATAATCAGATATAAAGAGAGAAGCATACTCGAACTAAATATTTGTCAATAGTCATAAGGTGTCTCAAATCAACGGGATTTGGTACTATTGTAATGCTGCAATAAGCATTGAATTAAGATATGGTTGTAAGATTATTGGACTGATCTTTTGGTGGTGAGTTTCCTAGAGCAAACATCAACGTGAAGGAATTACCTAATTCCACCACCACCAGTTGGTCCGTTTGTATATAAAGCAGTAAACTCTTTCGTTAACTGGACCGCATGTTCCTTTAGTTTGAAAAGACCATCCATACGTAATCTAAGCTGGAATTTATGTAAAGGAACATGAAAGTTATGCTTGATGAGAAAGAATCATGTGGTGGACAAACACCAAATCATGTTCCCCGTCTAAAGACATCATACCTTGAGAATAATTTAACAAATAGAAATTTGAATATAACACAAATCAAAATGACATAATGGTTCTTACATAGTCTGTGAGGGAAGGTAGTACCATCTTCTTCACCAGCGTCCCTGTCATTCTGTGCAGCAGAGCTCTCTTTTCCTTGTCCTTGACCATGGTTGCCAATAGGTAAGCGTCTTTGAAGCTCCTCCACACCAGGAATAACATTTTCATTTGTTGGATTCCGAAGCAAAACCTGTGTAAATAAGTGAAGTCATTAGTACAAAAAGAGATGAAGTTTCCATCTTATTCATGGAAAGCTAAACCCTAACTCTCTAAGCATTCCATAGTCCTTAAATATCACAAGAACTAGATAAGATTGTGAAATTCTTCATCACATTCAAAACAAAACTGAAACTAGCCAACTTATCAGTGTTTACTCAACAAAATCTAACCAAACAAATCAAAATCCTAGAAAACAAACCTGTTCAGAAGTAATAATCGCCTTGATTTGATGCATAAATCCACCACAAAATTTTAATCACATAGTGAAAACAAAAACCCAGAAACCACGAATCAACTGAAGAACAAAATCAGAAGAAAACCCAACCTCCAAA